TGGGATATTTGTCTATAAATATAAGGATACATATTTTGCACATAGCAAGAAATTACATTAGTCTAGCAATATGTCAGTCTTGGGGATTTCTCTTAAGATCTATGACCACTCCAGCCATGTGTATTTGGTTATATTTACAGTACCACACTTGAGCTTCCTCATATTGAGTGGGCTTTTAGTCCAATTAGGTAGCTGTTGATTGCCCCCAAGATAAAACTGCCTCTACTGCACCAATGTCATATGCTGTGCTGGCCATTGATGTGGTTATTTGGTCTCGAAACTAGTGTTGTACCATTGATGGATATTTTCCCTGGGCACCTTCATAGTGCTCTCCAAAGCTATGAGAGCTAGCCTTCAGGGGCAGTGGTTTCAGGTCAGTTCCAGTTCTATTGCTCCAAAGCCTGTGTTTGCTGTATGTTCTGTCTTCAGCAGTAGGGTCTTACCTTCAAGTTCTGGGAGGCCATTAAGGGCTGTGGCAATAAACTGTGTAATTTTGGGAGTCTTTTGGACCACCCTGGCCAACAGCTCAAAGGAAGGTGTCTCCTGTCTGGTACTGTTTCTTGTTATATAGCCTTTAGGTATACACATGGACTCATGTAGAGATATTAAATGTGTAATTTATCATTAGGTTGTTGGACTAATATGATTCCCTCTGGTTTTTTAAAGCTAGCTAGGCATTATCTCTCCTCTCTCTCCCTGTCTAGCCTTTCCTCCATGGTTTCCCCATTTAAAGTGTCCCCATTCCCCATTTCTTCCTTGCTAATACCAGTCTCCTGTGGTCCCACCTCTCTTGAGCTCCTTCTTTCCCTTTATCACCAAGGTTCCTTGTATAACTCTCCCTCCCCTCTCCCATTTAAGTAGCCCCATTTTTAACCATTTCTCCCTTACTAACACCTGTCTCCTTCTGTTCTTTTCTTAGCACCAAATCCTTATATGTGGGTATGTATCCAGATGTAATTGCAGGAACCAGAATAATGAAAAGGAACCAGGGAGGTAAAGGGAAAGAAAGAACCTAAGAAAGAAGAACAGTTAGTTTCTTAATATCTAATATGTAATCTTGAAGTTCACATCCTGGCCGGTCTTGCTTCTACCAGGTTTGCTGTTGGGAAATCATGCTTTTTAACAGAGAAAATTAAGCAGATCTGTGTCTTCGGTTATTTCATTGTGTACCCAGTGCTTGTGGCTGTTGACTTCCCCTCCCTTTCCTGGTGGTAACCTGTAGAGGCATTTGATTTTCTTAATGTATTTCACACACTTCAGTTCTCTGTGATCGTCTCTCCTTTTTAAAAAAATATTTTATTTTTATTTTATGTGTATGAGTGTGTTGCTTGATATCAGTAGAACAACCGCTAGAACTGGAGTTATGGATGGTGGTTAGCTGCCATGTGGGTGCTGGGAATCAAACCCAAGTCCTCTGCAAAAGCAGCCCGTGCTCTTAACCCCTGGGCCATCTCTCCAGCCCCAACTTTTACCCCTTTGATGTAGTCCAGGCTGGCTGTGAATTTACGATTCTCCTGCCACAGCTTCCCAAGTGCGAAGATTGTAGTGCCTGGCTTGATCTCTGTATTTTGGGTCCCGTGATGAGCAGTCATTCCATCACTGGGAACTCTAATACAGTCATAGGTTCCAGAGATTAGGATGTGGACATCTTCGGGGGGGGGTACTCACTGTTCATCAGGCTCATTTGAGTTTGGCATATGGATGGAAATGCTCCTAAATTCTGCCTTTATCCTCAGTGTCCCAGTTTAATTTACTCCCAAGTTATGTGTGTCCATCTCTTCAAACTAGTCTTAGAGATTCTTCAGGGGTCTCTAAATTGGTGGAGAAATTGAGCAGACACAAACACAGATAATTTATACATAACTGTTGCTTTAATTTGTATTGGTTTTTATTTCTTTATTTTGAGACAGGATATCACATTATAATTCGGGCTGTTCTGGAACTCACTATGTAGTTCACATTGGCCTTGAACCCTTGGCAATCCCTACTGCTGCCTTAGGCTTCCCAAGTGCAGGGATTACAAACATGAGCCACCAGGCCTAGTTTGTGTTGTTTTATATGTTGTACTCCTAAGTTACACTTGTTTTGTGGGTAGAAAAGGTGCAGAAGTTTTATAAAAATGAGTTTGGATTCATTGGTCAGGGTTGAGTTGTCCTCTATTGGAGGCAGTAGCCCCATTTGGCTGCTTCCGTTTCAACCAATTAAAATTAAAAAGTCAGTTCTGCAGTCACACTAGCCACATTTCAAATGCTTAGTGGCTTCCATAGTAGGATGGTCATAGAGCACCATTTCCCTCTTGTCAGAAATTTCATTAGCATGGACAACAAAGGTGTGCGTCACTATTGCCGAGCTCGTATTGTGAAGTAAGCCTGGCCATAGTTGCTGAATGGTTGTAGATGTTCTCTTCTTGAGTCTAAATTCTGCATGCTTTTTTTTACATGTGGGATCTAGATTTAACACACACACACACACACACACACACACACACACACACACACAAGAATGCGCGCAAAGAAATGAAAACCATTTGAGAGTGGGCTCTGGGAAGGAGGAAGGGACTATGATGGGAGTGAGTTGCAGTTCATGAGACTGTCCTAGTGAAACCATTGTTTTGTTCAGTCAGCATATGCTAGTGATCAGAAAACAGCTTTCTCTCATCTGTCCAGCGGGGTGGGTTGCAAGAGAAGCCTATGTGTCTGTCCTGCAGCCCCTTTTCTGTCTATCCATGCTATACTGCAGCTCTATGCTGCTTTCCCACTGTGGATTCTGTAAAGGGGCAAGTGTGGGGCGTAATGTGGTTATCTTTCTCGAGCATGTGTTTCCTTCTGCTTGAGGTCCCCCTCCTGTGCTGTTGCTGCTTAAGCATTTGTGCTGAAGAAAGCAGGTCCTTCCTTTAGCATACACCAGCTCGGCAGCCTATTGTAGCAAGAGTTCATGATATCATTGTTTACTTGGTTCAAATTTCAAGTTCTCCTTCCTTCACTTTTCTCTGAAGAAGTACTGCCAATTCTCCCTAGTGTAGCTTTTTGAATAGCTTTTATATCATTGCTGCTTTGTTACCCATCTTTAGTGTTGGACCCTTTTCCTATCTTTCTCCTAAAACAGGCAGCTTTTTCTGTAAAGGGCCAATAGTAATTACTTTTGGCTTCATGTGCCAGATGGTCTCTGGTGCAGCTGCTCAGCTCCACTATTGAAGGGCTAAAACAACCTTGGACCATAGTCAGAGAATGCCTGAGATTAGGTTTGGCCTGAATTTTGCAAGGATGGGCCCCTGCCCCAAATATTTTAAATCTTGCTTCATGGTGCTCAGAGTCTCCTGACATTCCTCTGTTCACTGTCTTTTCTTCTAACAATAATATCCTTCATTAGGACAGACATTCCAGATTTCTTTGCATTTTCTATGTGAATTAGTAGAAGACCCAATGAGGCCTGCTGAGTTGTGGGCTCTAACGGCCTCAGATGTCCAGGAGGCTGACTGGATACTCTTAATTAACTATATTCCCACCCCTCATTGAAGAATTACTAGTTGCTACATCCTACCTAGCCCTTGTACTAAAAATTCAAACAACCAAACTCATCCATCCGCCAACTGAGCTTTCAGATCATTTCTGTTAAAAGTCATTGAATAGGGTCGTTGAGAAGACTAAGTGGTTAAATGCACTTGCTGTCAAGCCTGACAATCTGGGTTCAATCTGTGGGACCCACATAGTGGAAGGAGACAATTGACTACTGAAAATTGTTTCCTAGCCTCCACAAGCATGCCATGACATTGCACCAGCACCCCTCCCCTCCCCTCCGCAACCCCCCACACACATAGTAAATGAGTGAATGAATAAATGTTGAAACATTGAAATTATGTTTCAGAATCCATGGAATACTTGCTCTTCTCCCCAGTTTCTTAGTTTTAACCCTATTTCCAAGAGCTTGCCATGCCTCAGAATGTCTTCCTTTAGGGTTTATGTTCTACTTTGCTTTTGGTTGCTGTGATGAAACACTGACCAAAAGCAACTTGAGGAGGAAAAAGGTTTGTTTTATCTTACAGGTTATAGCCCATCGAGAGAAACCGAGGCAGGAGCCTAAAGCAGGAAGCAGGGAGAGTTGCTTACTGGTTTGTTACCTCTGGCTCGCTCAGCTATGTTTCTTACACAGCTCAGGTCCACAGTGGGCTGGGCACTCCTACATCAATTAGCAATCAAGAAAATGCCCCACAGACATGCCCACAGGCCAGTCTGATGGAGGAGGTTCTTAATTGTGATGTCTTCTTAACAAGGTTTGTCAAGTTGACCACAAAACTGTGACCAACCCCCCATGTTTTTCTAAAATGCACACAAAGTGTTTCTTTCTTAACAAATTGGTGTATGAAGAGACATATCATAGACCTTTGCATTTGCAGAGACTTAAATGTTTGGCACACATCCTGATAGAAGACAGAATACACAATGTCTAGATAAATGCTGCATGTCGTCTTTGTATACAAATGGTGTGTGATATACCTGTATTTATCTTCCTCTGAAGGGTGCCGCCTGGAAATTTCTCAGGCAAGCAAGCTAATTATTTCCTTGCCTTTTCTACTTTTTATTATACTTAACTAATGAGCAATCTCTAGTCATCTTTCCAGGACTTAATGTGGCCGCTAACCGGTGTAGTCCAAATTAATCCAACGTATTTGATCAGACACAAGGACCCTTGAACTGAATGTTTCAAACTTTTGATCAAGAGAATACTGTCTTTATGATATACTACAGGTTTTCCAGTTTTGCTTAGAAAATACAGTGCATTGGGTTCTGTAGGATATATCACAAATAACTTAATTTGTATAGTCCTAAAGTCGTATGCCTATGATACTATACTGGAAAGCAGATTAAGCTTAATGGCATATTCCTCTATTTTGCCAAGTTTAAGGGAACTCAAAACAGAATTCTAGCTTCATGTTAATTGTTTTGGGCTTTCAATATTGAGAACTAAAGATGTGTATTGTTTCTTTTGTTTACTTTAATTAGGCGCTATATATTGAAGACAATGTCTGGAAGCTTCTACTTTGTAATTGTTGGCCACCATGATAATCCAGTTTTTGAAATGGAGTTTTTGCCACCTGGGAAAGCAGAATCCAAAGTGCGTATGAAAGCTTCCATTCCATCAGAACTTAGAGATTGTTGTAATGGATTTTGGGAAAGAATATTCAGCCCATAGCAGGTATTTTTGGGAAGGTAAAAGGCATTGTGAAAGAGAATTCCACAGGGTTAAGAGTCCATCCAGGTGGTGAATTTCCTTTCCACATTATAGTGGATCATTCCTACCTTCCATCCAGTTAGGCTGTTTCAGCCTGCCAAGAGAACAGTCCTGGTTTTCACAGGATGTTTCTGCAGTTGAAACAGATGGCTGTTTGCAGCTAGGACTAACTGAGCATGGCCTCCCCACCCCTCACAGATCATGCCATGCGAACTCAGTTCTGAAAGAGGCCTCTGGCAGTTCACAGGTGCCACCTGAACTGGCTTTGCTGCTTCTCCGGTGTGCTGCTCTGGAAGCCCAGCCCTCGCCTTGAGACCACATGCACAGGGCACCTCTTCACAACTGTCCTTAGCCTCATCCACGTCCTTGATCCACATCCACTTGTGTGTCTTTCTCCTGTAGTAAGATGGGCTTCTGAAAAAAAGGATCTACCTGTTTTTATTTTTCCCCCTTAAAAGTAATATACTTTCTTCACATGTATAAATGGTTATAGAATTTGGTAACTGCCTTCTTTCCACATTCAAAATGTAATTTTTAATAGTTTCTTGAAGACATTTTTATTTGGCTTTTCCTGTTCTTGTTGAGTTTTAGATATCAAGACTATATAAAACAGAAGCTTTTGTGTCTTTTGATGATACATGAAGCAAATACAAATAGTTTTTTACCCCATAAGAAAAACATGTATGGAATTTACAGAATGCAAGCCAGGCATACTGGTGCACACCTGTAATCCCAGAGTCGGGTTCAAAGCCAGCTTAGGCTATGTCTGTTGATATATGAAGCAAATACAAATAATTTTTTACCACAGAAGAAAAACATACATGGAATTTACAGAATGCAAGCCAGGCATAGTGGTGTACACCTGTAATCCCAGAGTCAGGGGTTCAAAGCCAGCCTGGGCTATATAGTCAGGCCAGTTCTAGAATAAGAAGAAAAAAGAACCCACAAAAACAATTGACAGAATTTCACAGAATAAATTGTTGGTATTCCCATTGCCATATGGAAATGTTAATCTTGCACCACTCTGTCATTTAGGATGATCACCGTCATCTGAACCAATTCATAGCTCATGCTGCACTCGACCTGGTGGATGAAAACATGTGGCTTTCCAATAACATGTACTTGAAAACTGTGGACAAATTCAACGAGTGGTTTGTGTCAGCATTTGTTACTGCAGGGCATATCCTTACCTTGTGTTCTAGTTCGCTTTCTGTTCCTGTGATGAACATCATGACCAAAAGCAATTTAGGGGAGGAAAGGGTCTATGTGGCTTATACTTCTAGTTCACAATCCATCATTGAGGGAAGTCAGATCAGAAACTCAAGAAGGAACTGAAGCAGAAATCATAGAGGAATACTGCTTCCTGCCTAGCTCCCAAGCTACCTTTTTAGGGGGCGGGGAGGTGCAGAGGTTAAGACAGGATCTCCGTGTAACCACAGCAATGCTCTGGAACTCATATTGATAAGGTTGGCCTTTTTGTGACTGCCTCACATTAAAACTGTGCTCCACCATGCCCTACTTCAGCTACCTTCCTTTCACAGCCCAGGCCCACCTGCCTAGGGACGGTACTGCCCACAGTGGGCTGGGCCCTTTTGTTTCAATTAGCAATTATGAAACTGCTCACAGTCATGTCCACAGGCCAATCTGATGGGGCAGTCCCCTTATTAAGACTCCTTCAGATAACTCAGGACTGTGTTGACAACAGAAGCTAAGTAATTAAGAGACATTCATAAAAATACTTAGCAAAAGGCTGAGTTAGAAATCAAGAACTTGAAATATAGATGCAGGCTCTGAATTTGGAGACTTGAAAGAGTCAAACGAAGATTAAAGAAATCTGCATTTATGAGGCTGCCTTTTTAAACATTATATATTTGAATATATTTTATATATTTTATATTTATGTATTAAAAAATTTATATATTATTTTATATATTTTATGTGTATGAGTGTATTGCCTTCATGTATCTAAATGCACCCGTGTTGTCCAGTGGTCTCGAAGGTAAGAAGACAGTATCAGATCCACTGAAGCTGGAGTTATGGAAAGTTGTTAGCTGCCATGTGGGCCCTGGGAAACAAATCCAGGTTCTCTGCAAGAACAGCCAGTGCTCTTAACCCCTGAGCCATCTCTCCAGCCCCTCTGTCCCTTTTTTGAGTACACATTTTGTTTAACAGAGAATTTTAAAGTGGCACACATAGAAAACTAAGGTTTAGCTGAACCACATCAAGGGCAATTTTACATTTTGTCTCTTTTCTAACTTAAAAATGACATTCTCCTTAAGACAAAGCTAAGTTGACTTTAACCTAATTTATATATTTCAATGTTGCCATCACAAAATACAGTTCATGTCACTAATTTGCAGAATACTGTATCACCTGATTGCTTTAAAATTTTCATTTCTAGTAAAGATTATGCCTTAATTATTTCACATATGAGATTTATTATGCTTCATGATGTGAGGCAAGAAGATGGAATAAAGAACTTCTTTACTGATGTCTATGATTTGTATATAAAGGTATGGTATATTCTGTGTATGTGGTGGTGTTGTTTTGAGATAGAGCCTCACTGTGTAGCACTATACCTGGCTGCCTTGAACTCAGAGATCCACCTGCTTCTGCCTCCCGAGTGCTGGGACTAAAGGCATGTGCCACCATGCATGATAAAGATGAGGAGTATCAAGTGATCAAGTTATAAAAATCAGTTCCTCCTGTCCCTATTAGTAATTCTATTTTAGTATTTATTTCTCTTATATGTTATGATGCACTTACTATATTAGCTAAGGAACTGATTTTTTGTTTTGTTTTAATGTTATATGTATGACTGTTTTTCCTGCATGTAACTGCACCTGTGTCATGTAATGCCTGCGGAGGCCAGAAGAGGGTGTTGGATCCCTGGAACTGGAATTTTGGATGGTTGCTAGCTGCCATGTGGGTACTGGGAACTAAACCTGGGTCCTCTGCAAGAGCAGCTGGTCTCTTAACCTCTGAATCATCTCTCTACCCCATTTTGTGTATGTGTATATGTGTGTGTGAGAGAGAGAGGGAGAGGGAGGGAGGGAGGGAGGGAGGGAGAGAGAGAGAGAGAGAGAGAGAGAGAGAGAGAGAGAGAGAGAGAGAGAGAGTGTCTCTGACTCCCCTCTGCTGGGATTAAAGGTATGTGCCACCATGCCCAGCTATGATTTTTAGCTTTATGTTAATGCAAAGTAATAAAATTCCAAATTAAAATAATTCAAAAAACAGGGCTGGAGAGATGACTCAGCAGTTAAGAGCACTGGGTGCTCTTGTAGAGGATCTGGGTTCAATTCCCAGCATCCACATGGTGGCTAACAGCCATTTCTAACTCCGGTTACAGGGAATCCTACACCCTCTTCTGACATCCTTGAGCATTGCAGGACATGGGTGCACTTACATACATGCAGGCAATACACTCATACACATAAAAATAAGTAAAAAATAAAATATTAAAAAAAATAATTCAAGAATCTAGGCACAGTGGCATATACCTGTAATCCCAGCACTTGAGAAGCAGAGGCAGGATCACAAGTTTGAGGCCAGCTAGGCTGCAAAAAGACCGTCTGAAAAGAGATCCCTACACCTAATAGCAGTATGGTGTAACTTTTTCTTAACTCTGAACATATGACACATTTATCATTTGTTTAATGTAACCTAGTGGGCCTTACAGATTAATCCACAACTATAAAGAAGTCAGGATTCACATTAATGTATATAGGCAATCTCTTTCATACTATTAGGTTAGCCACAGGCACTTCTCAAAATGAAAACATCAGAGCAAAAACCTTCTTAAGGGAAGCCAGGCTTGGTGATGCACTCCTGTAATTGCAGCACTTGGGAGGTACAGGAAGGAGGCTCAGGAGGTCACAGCATGTCTCAGATGCATAGTTTCAAGCTTGGCCAGGGCTACATGAGGCTTTGTCTCAAAGCATCCCCTTTGCTGGGTATGGTGGCTCACACCTGTTATCCCAGCACTGGAAAGACTAAAACAGGAGGATTTCAATGAGTTTGAGGCCAGCCTTCACTACAGAATAAGAATCTACCTCCAAAATACAATGGGACATTTTTGTTGTTTGTTTTTTAAAGTTTTTTATTACACCTGTTTGTGTGTATATGGGAAGGAGATAAGAGGTGGTCTCACAGGCCAGAGTGAGTGTATGTGGCAGGAACTCAGAGAACAACTTGTAGGAACCAGTTCTCTCCTTCTACCCTGTAGGTTCTAGGGATAGAACTCAGGTTGTCAGGCTTGGCAGTGGGCATCTTTACCCACTAAGCCATTGCACAGGGCCTTTTCTTTTATGTTTTTGAGGCAAGAGTCTCAAGTAGTCCAACCAAACTGGGCTCAGGCTCATTATGTAGCTAAGGCTGGCCTTCAACTCCTGGTCCTCTTGCCTCTACCACCCAAGTGCTAGAATTACAGACGTGTTGAACTATACCCGACTAAGGAGATGCTAATACTTAACCACGGGCAACTCTGAGAAGTCCATACCAGTGCTCTAGGGTGTGTCTTAATTCCTGGGTGTCTTTCTCTTAACCTTAATGATTAAAGTCTATATTAAGAATCTTTGGGGCTGGAAAGATGGCTCAGCGGTTAAGTGCACTGGCTATACTTGTAGAAGACTAGGTTTGAATCCCAGCACCCACTTGGTGGCTAACAACTGTCCATAACGCCAGTTCCAGGGGATATTCCTCTTCTGTCCTCCGCAGACAGTACATGAAACAGGTGCACTTGCAGGCCTAATACTCATACACATAAAATTAAAAAATAATAATAATTGAAAAAAAGAATCTTTATTAAAACCCCAATTCTGCTTTATTTAAAAAATGAACAATGGAATACTTTCAATGAAAATTAAAAATGCGACTCTTTGACGTTTGAATGTCTGATAATTTTTAGCTTAAAAATGTACCTTTTAGTGACCTCTTTTAACAAGCTCACTAATATCTTCTTTCCTAGTTTGCGATGAATCCATTTTATGAACCCAATTCTCCTATTCGATCAAGTGCATTTGACAGAAAAGTTCAGTTTCTTGGGAAGAAACATCTTTTAAGCTAAATGCAGAAAAAAAAAAAAAAAACAACGAAATAAGCAGCATTGCCGCCGTGGGGTGTACTCAGGAATGTATGCATTGTAAGTAACTTGATAAAATAGCTTGAAAAACTTAAAATAGTACATCGTTTTCATGTTGCTTATCAACATCAATATTTGCTTGTGCACAGTATTTATAAAGAGCTCTTTAATGTTTTTATTTTGAAACTTAAGAATAAACTCTTGACATTCCTAATTGAGATAATTGGATCTAAAGTAACCATTGAAAAGTCAATGTCATAGTGAAGATTTGCTAGATTTAAAATTAAAAAATTCTGCAGACACAAATGAAATTGATAGCATATACTTAGACTTAAGCATTTAGAGACGTTATAAAAAATGTATAATATACTGCAGTACCCAAGAAGCTGAAGCAGGATGCACTTGCATTGTGAAATTACCATATGCCTGCCTGTGTCAGGCTGAGAATAGTGATTCTGCAAACTGGACTAAAGTTGCAGGCCAGGGTGAAACGGCGAAATGTACTGTCTCTGTCTCTTCGTACTTTCATATTTCGTTTCTCTTAGTAAACTAAAGGTTTAATGAACTTATAAATATCTGTAATTCTAAAATGTTATAATGCAATTTCAGAACTAATACTAAATAAAAGCCTGGATTACATTGACATTTACACTAGGCCCTGTCTTCAAAAAAAAGGAAAGAAATGTTTGTTGGACTGTACAGTAAGTAGTACATTTGCACAGAAAAGCAAGTAGCAGAAGCTGAGCTGTTCATTGGGCTGGAAGAATTGTGCTCCATTCTAACTTTCGAACAAGCATTTCTTTATTGTGTACCCTTGTATGAAGCTGCTACCATCATTCTTTATTCTATTTGATTTCTTAAATAAAGACTGATGTCGAAGATTGTGGTACGTCGATGTCTAAATTTTAAAAATATTTTATTCTTTGAGAATTTTATACAATGTATTTTGAGTCTATTCAGAACCCCTACCCCCTCACTTCATGGCCTCTATTCTTTTTTTTTCAGCTATTACGAAAACTTTATTGAGAATTTCATACATGTATATAAGGTATTTTGATCAAATCCACGCCCACTCCCTCCCCTCTAACACCTCCCATATCTCCCCATCACTTTTTTCTTTTTCTTTTTTTCTTCTTTCATTTATTTATTTTTTTAAAGATTAATTTTTTATTATTTGAAACATTTTATAATATGAAAAATGCTCTTTTTCAGTTTATTATTTACTTAATAACCACATACTTAGAAGAAGCATTCCATTACAACAGCATTGACATATTCAATAACAATTTCCTGGGCTAAAACGCATCTTTTTCAAAATTGGCTGT